CTGGGATGCCACTGGACCTAATAATGTTAATCTATTCAGGGCTAAATTAGCCTCTTAATACAACAAATAATATTGCCAAATTTCAATCAAATCGAGTGAATGTTTCTTGAGATATCAGAAAAAATCATAATTTATCACCCTGCATTTTGAAAACTCTCCATTTGCGGACTCATGTTTATATAAACTTTTTCTCATATTTTTAACAAGGAATCACCCTCTAAAATATCTCCGTCTATTTGTCGAACACCCTGTATACGCCACTGATGCAGGGTGTGGTTTTTTCATGTCTCGTAACTGAAACGTACCTTAAGCAACACCTTAACAACTTTTGTAATAGCGACAAAGAAGCATTGAAAATTGTATTTTTTGAATCCGGTCAAGCTACGTTTTTGTGACATCATTAATGTTTTTCAGGATACAATAACGTAGTGAAGATCTCGGACTTCGGCATGTCTCGCGAAGAAGAAGAATACATTGTATCCGACGGCATGAAGCAGATTCCAATCAAATGGACCGCACCAGAAGCTCTTAACTTTGGAAAATACACGTCACTCTGCGATGTTTGGAGTTACGGGATTCTCTGCTGGGAAATATTCTCGCGTGGTGACACGCCTTACACTGGCATGAGCAATTCTAAGGCTAGGGAGAAAATTGATAATGGTAAATATTTGCTTACCTAATGCAGTTTCTGGCTCAGAAACGTCAAGGTTACCCGTAAGCGTCATTTTGATTACTCGCAACTTTTCCGGAATGCATTTTAGGGGGGAATGCACCAAATAAAAGTTATAAGATTTTTCCTGGGCTATCAGAAGGTTACCTTGGATTCGATCTTGACCTTAACGGTTAACTTCAAACTTTTCAATGTAAACCCCGGCAATGAAACGAGCGAAAAATTTTACATTCAGACGTGACCTTGAATGACTCTCATATTTGACCTTGAGTGACCTCCCGCTCAACTAAGGCAAGGTTAAGGGCCAGGGCCATATAGTGATAGTTTGGGTCAAGGTCAACCCAGCTCTTTGTAGCGATTTTTTACCTTGCAGACTGTACGAGTATATTAAAATGTATCATTTTCTTTTTCAGGGTACAGGATGCCCCCTCCTGAAAGTACACCAGACGAAATGTACAGGCTCATGTTGCGTTGCTGGGAGTACAAACCAGAAAGCAGACCGAACTTCGAACAAATTCATACTATCGTAGAAACGCTATGTGCCGCATACAGGGTGACATTTTGCTGATGCTGTATGCATACGCTGGAATCATTGATTAACATATTTCACCAGAAGGTACCCAACCCAAATGAAAGCCGTGTCTGCGCGAAAATACGCATACGTACCGTAGCGACGACAACCGCTTGAGGTCAATTTACAAACTCATACGTTCCGCACCGTTCCCGCAACGCAAAACTTGAATGTTGCGCTTGACTTTAAACTGTTTATAAACAGGAATTAAGTAACGTTCGCCCGCAACGCTGACGATAGACTTGAAGTTTTAACTTTCTGCCGTTGCTAATTAAACCAATGAAAGGAGCCTGCAATTCACGTATTTGTTACGACAGGTCAGCTGGTTTTTGTTATGGAGACAAAAAAAATGTTGTAGAATTAGGTTGTAAGGTTAAAAGGTGATTTTTGGTGGTTTTGAACATAGCTTTGACATTTGAAAGTCATTGAATTTTTCTTAACGGAAACCTCTATTTTCAACACTGGAAATCTAAAGAGCGAAAAATCTTATGTTCAAGTATGCACTTGTCCATGACCTTGACCAAGGTCTACTCGTACATGGTCATTTTAGGGTGTCCAAAAAGTATGGCAAGGACAAAATATTTCAAATGTTTCTTAGCGACAAATGTAGAACAAATTTGTAAGATTTAAAAAAGGCTATTTAATGGTGACCTTAAACGCGACCTTTTGAAGGTCAAGACATTAAATGGAAACCCCAATTTTTGACAACGGAAATGCAAAAAGTAAGAAATTTCAATCCTAAGTTCTTGTCGTAACCTTTCCTATTATCTTCAATGTCATTTTAGGGCATCACAACAACACAATCTCAAAAAGCAAGAGAACAAAGTTGCAAAGTTTGAAAAGGGTCAATTAAGGGTGGCCTTGAACGTGAAGGTTTTATTATGGATCATATAGCGGGACGTGTAATTACTATTCTAGAAGCAATGAGTATCCCGTTGAAAGATTTGTTTGACCTTGAACTAGAGGATCATATTCGTGGAGACGATCAATTACATGATAATAACCTTGGCTGTATAATGTTACGACAAAAAGCAGCGAGTTTATTTAAAAATTCATCTGACCTTCAGGTGACCTTGATGGTCAATGTGAAGTCACGAGTTATAAGTACTTGTCTCCCGCTAAAAACCATTTAAACTTCAAATGACCATGGTCATAGACATACTTAAACTTGACGTTGGTCAAACGTATACTTAATATGTAAAGTTTTCCGCTCTTCTTGACACCGGAATTGTAAAGAGCAGGAAGTTTTACGTTCAACTACCAAAACATACGGACAGAACAAAATACTCATAGTTGCGAAAGTTACAAGGTTCATTTCTAATGGCGACTGTGGCCTTGAAGATTTAACGGGACTTGAGACTAGTGTTCTAGAAGTAAAATACGTATCCTGTTAAAAAATCATATGACCTTCATTATCATAGCCAAGGTGACGGTCAAGTACATGACAGTGACCATGGCAGTAAAATGTTTTGCTTTTTCTTACCTCCGAAAAGAAGTGAGGAGTTTAGTTATAAATTCACTGACCTTCCAATGACCTTGAAGGTCATGGTCAGATTCATTTGCAGGGATATACCTGAACGCAAAACTGTTTGCAATTTGCATTTTAGAAGTTAAAAATAGATATTTCCATTTAAAAATTCATTTGGTCTTCAAATGACCTTCATGGTCATAGTCAAGGTCATCGACATACCTGTACATAAAGTTTTCTGCTCGTTACATTTAAGGTTTTGACCGTCAAATACTTGAAGGTCATAGTCAAGGTCACCATCAGATGAAACTTTTAGAACTTTGCAACTTTATTTCAGTATCAGAAATAGAAGAAGATAGACTAGAATTTAAGAAAACTGTCTTTAAGGTTACAGTCAAGGTCACTTTTAAGGTCACCATCAGCCTTTTCACAACGTACAACTTTATTCCGGTATCAGAAATAGGAGCTTCCACTTAAGAAAACTTTGTTGACCCTCAAATGACCTTAATGGTTATGATCAAGGTCATGTTTGAGGCTCTCATCCTTTTCGAACCTTATAACCTAATTCCAGTGTCAGAAATAGAGGGGTTTCCACTTAAGAAAACTCCTGATAGTCAAATCTCGAAGGTTATAGTCAAGGTCACGTTTAAGACCGCCATCCTTTTCAAACCTTAAAACCTAATTCCAGTGTCAGGGTTTTCATAAGAAAACTGTCTTGACCCTCACATAAGCTTGAGGGTCTCAATCACGTTTAAGGTCATCATACTTTTCAAACCCTCCAATCTAATTCTAGTGTCAGAAATAGGGGTTTCCATTTAAGATACTGATACTCAAATGACCTTAAAGGTATAGTCAAGATCACGTATAAGACCGTCATCCATTTCAAACCGTACAACCTAATTCCAGTGTCAGAAATAGGGGTTTTCATTTATAAAACCGGACCTCGTTCTCAAATGACCTTGGAGGTAATAGACAAACTTACGTTTAGGGCTATAATCCTTTCCAAACCTTACAACCTAATGCCAGTGTCAGAAATAGGGGTTTTCATTTATAAAACCGGACCTCGTGCTCAAATGACCTTGAAGGTAGTAATAGACAAAGTTACGTTTAGGGCTATAATCCTTTCCAAACCTTACAACCTAATTCCAGTGTCGGAAATAGGAGATTCCATTTAAGAAAACTGCCCTGATACTCAAATGACCTTGAAGGTTATAGTCAAGGTCATGTTCAGGGCAATCATCCTTTTCAAACCTTGAAACCTAATTCCAGTGCCAGAAATAGGGGTTTATTATTTAAGAAAAATGTCCCGTTACTCAAATGACTTTGAGGTTCTGGTCGAGGTCACGTTTAAGGCCATCATCCCTTTCGAACCTTACAACCTAATTCCAGTGTCAGAAATAGGAGTTTCCATTTAAGAAAGCTATCCTGATACTCAAATGACCTTGAAAGGTTAAGGCGTTTAAGGCCGTCATCCTTTTCAAACTTTAAAACCTAATTCCAGTGTCAGAAATATGGATTTCCATTTAATAAAACTGTCTTGGCTCTCAAGGTTATAGTCAAGGTCACCATTTTCAAACCTTACAACCTTATTATACATTTTTCTCTAGGAAATGTATATTTTGGGATATTTTGGTGCATCCATAGTTTATACCCTGTACATGAGTCGACCACTGTCTTTAGGTGTAGCCAGCTCTTGGACTGTTTTGTCGCAGGTTATGAGATTTTCCTTTCCACCTTTAAGGAATTCTGGAAATACTAAATTTTAGGAATAATGAGGGAGGTTGAGGTGTGATTTTTCATCAGAGGTTGATGTAATGTTTAAGAACAATTTTCTTTAAACTGTTTTTATGATTTCTACGAGAATTACTGCGATTCAATTTGACAACATGCTGCGACGATGAAAATTGCACGTGACTGTCCAAATACAGCATAGGATAGGTCATCTTGGAGAATACGTTAATCAGAGATGTAACCAAAATTCCGCGTATCTGCTACAAAAGTTTAAATTCTATGAATGTTTTTCATCAAAGCTGAATGTCTGCACGAGTCTAAACTGTTCTGTGATCGTATCCACATGTTTGTGGAACTTTGTTTAAATTTTTAAAGGGAAATCTTTAAATTATTTGGTAGTGCCATATCGTATATGACTGTACATATCTTCAACTCACAACTGTTATACTACTTAGCAGTTCTTGTTGAAACTTTTGGTGTGTGACACTTGAACATTAGATTTCCCTATTTATAATCAAAAAGGCGTGTAAATAGGTTGTTTTTTTTAATAAAACAAAAAAAAATGTCTAAAAAACTGTATAATAGCATAGAGTTACAATATTATTACTGTGATTATCAAAGTAATATGTAAATTATGATTTTTATTAACAAATATAATTTTTATACAATGTGTTTTATTATAAATATAATTTGATGAGTTCATCACTGACAGCTGATGGTGTGAGAATTCCTAAATCTGTGAAGAGTAAGGTAATGTAAGCTGGAGGTGTGTAATCAACCAAAGGATGAACTTTCTTCAGGTCACTATTTTTCCTTACACTTGATGTATACTGAAAAAAATATTAGTACACTTTACCAAACATTTTTTTAATCATTGGTGGGTCTATGAGATCCTGTCAACATTGAAAACATCTATACGAGAGAGATGCGTCAAATACTTGTTTTTTTTTATATCGAAACAGCCGCGCAGGCAGAAGCCTAAATGCCGGAACACCGCGGCTGCTATGATGATCCCAAAGAAATTTTGTTAATACGATTTTTGAACTGCCTAAGGTTGGTAGAACTGGGAAAAGCTTCCGCCCGTAGATTGTTCCACAATCTAGACACCCTCGGTACAAAGGAGCGGTCGTATCGTCCAGTTCTGGATGTACGAAGTTTGACACGGTTAGGATGGGACGCCGAAGTCAGGCGGGTCTGTCTGGCAGGCACATCGCGCGGCGGCGGCATGGAAGAGAGATCTGAGGAGCAAAGCCCGTTGGTGTAGCGATAGAAAAGAGCTAGATCGCCGACGACCCGCCGGTGCGAAAGAGTCCCGAGACTGTCTGTTAGAGAAGAGTCATGGATCAGTCGGACCGCCCTCCTCTGGACAGCATCGAGCATGGACAATGTAGTCGGGGCGGCAGCACCCCAAATGTGTGAGCAATACTCGAGGCTAGGCCTTATCTGGGCCTTGTATAGAGTGAGAAGGTCATGCGGAGAAAAGTACTTCTTAGCCCTAAACAAATAGCCTAGCTTTTTCCCAGCAACTGCAGCTATTGAAGAGATGTGTTCGTGCCAGATCAGGTCCTTGGTGATCTGGACTCCGACCAGCCGAAATGAATGGCTCTTTGGTAGAACTCGACCGTCCATCGAAACTGTATGAGCGCTAGGACGCTTTTTGTTCATCAAAGTACAGTACTGTGTTTTGGAAGCATTGAACTGTACAAGATTGTTGCGTCCCCAAGCAGTGATAGCATCCAGGTCTCTTGTCAGAGAAGAAGTCGTCGCTAATCTTCTTTTTTCCAGCTCAGCGGCAGAGATCGGCTTGTCACTCTGAATTCCTGCATGTAGAGTGCTGTCATCAGCGAAGCTGTGGATTGGGTTGATCGTGCAGGAAAGGAGGTCGTTGATATGTAAGAGAAACAGTGTTGGAGCCAAGACCGATCCCTGGGGAACACCCGCGTTGACGTTGTGGGATGAAGAGGAGAATCCGTCAATTACGACGGATATCTTGCGGCCAGAGATAAAGTCAGCCACCCATCTGCAAAGCTTTTCGGGGAGGCCGTAGGATGGAAGTTTGCTTAAGAGGGCAGCGTGCCACAGCTGATCGAACGCTTTCGTGATGTCAAGAGCAACGACATGAGCCTCACCATGAGACTGGATGAGCGTACTCCACAGTTGCGTGACGTAAGCTAGGAGGTCCCCTGTGGATCGTTGGTGCCGGAAACCGTACTGCCTGTCGCTAATCAAGCTGTGACATTCGAGGTAGTCCAGAAGCTCGCTATTTATGCACCTCTCCATCACTTTACTTACTATATAACAGAAAGCATATCTCTTCAGTACAATGGCAGGAATCAAGTCCGGACCAGAAGCTTTGTTGATGTCGAGCGACAAGAGCACTCGTCTTACGGTCTTAGCACTTCCGCCTTGGCCTTTGAGTCGAATACAATAGTTCCATCCTGACACGTAAGTGGTGGAAGGCTACTGTGTGAGAAGTTCTTTTCAATCTGCTTGGCCAGCGTCCAGAAAGACCGACTGCCATTGCGCTGCGACATTACCCTGTGCCTAACTTTTATATCATGCTGGTTTTTGGCATTGCGAACCGATTCGTTATATTTGTTTCTGGACTCGACGTCGGATTGTCTGTTCTCTACAGTGGGGTTTTGTAAGTAGGTTCTGGGGGCCTTGATCCTCTGCTGGCGAGCAGTGTCACACGATTTGTTGAACCAGCCGTTGGACCCTGGTTTAAGAACGTTCACTGTGTGAGGGATGTATTCCTCCATTCCGACGTGGATAATTTCGGTTATTGAAGAACATCCGCGTCAGTGAAACAGACATCTCTCCAAGGAAAGCTAGAGAAGAAGTCTCTGAGCCCCTCCCAGTCGGCATGTCCGTAATGCCAAGTTTTGCGGCCTGTGCGAGTTTCTGCTGCCACAGCGGCTTCTGACCGAAACCTAACCTCCACCACACCGTGATCCGAGTTACCCAGGGGGGACAGGACAGCAGTGCTGTAAGGGGCAGGTTGCGTGGTCAGAAAGAGATCCAGCAGGCTACTGGCGTGTGACGAGACGCGGGGGAAAAAAGTAGGGCTCGTCACCAGCTGGGTCAGCCCTTGAGTAAGAGCGAACGCTTCGACTGCACGACCTGCTGCATCGGTCTTATTTGAGCCCAACCAAAGCTCATTATGGGCATTGAAATCACCGAGAAGAACTACCTCTGAAGCGGGGTGATTGATGTTCAGGAAGTCGATCTGGACGGCGAGGTATTCGAGTAGGTCATCCCAGTTATGGTTCGAGGGAGAGCGATAAAGGCAGCAAATAAATTTGGGTGATGTTTTGGAGTTGAGGCGAAGCCACAGAATGTCCTTCCGGTCTGATTCCAAAGAAAGATCCCTGGAGCAGGAAAGACTGCTACGGACAAAAGCCACAACTCCCCGTTCTTTCTCAGATTGGAGTGCACCTCGTAGTTTGGGAAGCTGAGATGGTTAATCGGTGCAGTCTCTGAGATTTTTGTCTCCGCCAAGAAAAGCACGGCGGGACGATTGGATTGCAGGTAGTGATGAACAGCATCAATGTTGCTGTTGATCCCGCAGATGTTCTTGTGTTAGGAAGGGATAGAAGCACCTCGTTGCCTAGCAACCCGAGCTGACGAGGCCACGGATGCCATCGACACTCCCTTTCTATTTGACGCTTCGCTCATATATCCTTTTTCTTAAGTAGTGTGTTTTATTTCAAGGTTCTTAATTGTTCAAAAATGTATTTTCGCATTTCCAACTGTTTGAAAGACTGTGTGCTCCTTCAACGCGCGTGCGTTCTCAAAATACTAATTTCAAACGGTTTCAAATTTGATTCTGCTAGAACACATTCATCTGACAAAATACGTTTGAGTTGACAGTGACAGCATCGTATTTGACAATTAGATGAAATTCTATGTTTCTTTCCTCAGAGTTAGGCCATTGAATTCCAGACATACTGCTTAAGAACCATTAAAACGTCTTATTATGACAAAAAGATGGTGTTGCATGTCCTGCGAACCAAAACACAAAATGATTTCACATTTACCTTGTATTCTTCAGGCAGATCTTGTTGTCCTAAAGGAAATAATCTTGAAAACTTGAAACTTTCTGTAAGCACATAGAAAGGCTTTTTCATTTCTTTGGCACATACTGCCATAGTATAACTTCCCACCTGAAAAAAAGGAAAATGCAGAGAAACAAAAGGTAACCAGTGCATTACGTGTTCTTTTTTTTTTAATTACCTTATTTACAATACCACCGCTTTCTACAACACCTTCTGCTCCTACCATTATGAAATGAACTTGTTCCATAATATATCCGACTGCAGAATCTAAGATCAATGTACAAGGTATACCTTCTGCCTGGAGCTCCTTACACATTTGTTTCCTGCAACAAATATAAAATAAATATTCCAATATCTCAAAAAATCACCACCTTCAATAAGTTTAGGATTTATGTTTTAAAAACTTTTGGGAAGGACATACAGGGAAAACCATATTTCTCTGACAGCTTGAGTTCAATGTGTATGAGAGAAAAGCGCGAGAAGTGTGTATCAACAAATGTTAGAAATAAATAGAAGCCGGATGAAGAGCGAAGGTCATCACAACATTACCTAGCGACGGTGACGCAAAAGGTCGTGCAATCTGCAGCGTTGCCAATATGTTATACCAGAAAATGTTCACACAGGCTTCTACAATAGGTTAGGTTACTGTCAAACCCAAGAAGGAGGTCTGTTCGAAAATTTAATTTAATATTCTGTTTTAGTTTTGATTAGATTTCATTTCCACCGATGGTGATAAAATCAACACAAGAGTTATTGTTACATTTTGCGACTGCGCTGTAGTCGAAAAATATAACAAATAACGTTACGCAATACAAATTATCACTGCCTTCGTGTACGCAGGTGAAAGCCATTTCGAAGCGGGACGACACTCCCCTACAAGCACTAGATGGGTAGTGACCAAAATCGCTCAACTATGATCATGGAGGTGGAAACTTTGCCTTGTAATGTACAAAATGCGATGTTATCAAACGAACCAATGACGTAATGTTGCAGAATTTGTGGCGATCCTAAAACGGAGCGCCGTTAGCACCGATCCAGAATCAATCCTAATCAAATTCGACACAATTCACAAATGTGTATGCTCAAAATAAAACCCTGTTACAGTTTCTTTTTATGGTCGACTAAACTACATCTTCATAAAGTAATTATGTTTTTCTCATTTAGAATAATAATTTTATAGCCGTTCCTAAAAATATCGAATTTTATTTTTAGTAATAAAACACTTCTCCTGGTCAAATAATTTGCGGTAGAAAATCGCACTCCATCTAATTGGAGGTCATTTTTATAATTTCTGTCGACCGTAAATACGTGAGCTGAAGGTGACTTGGTGCTATTTCCGGGTGATAAGGTGGTGGGTTTTTTTATTAGAAATCGGCCCCTCTTGGTGGTTTGTTTTTGTCGGAGCCTTTTTCTCTTCCCCTTGGGGATTTAGCCGTGGACTCAACACTCAACCATCGAGCTGAGGGGGACCGTCTGCAGGGATAGTCCGAGGCGAATTTGGGTGGGACTCGCGCCTGTGAGGAGCAATTCCCCATTTATATATAAGTGTAACTATAGTGGCGAAGTTTAGTAATATGCTACTCTTACACTTAACCACTAAAGTTAAAAATTACGTTGTTAACAGTTAACACAAACAAAACGCAAAATGTATACAACAAATCACTTATAACCCATATGAGAAGTGAAAAATTAGATATTTTGTGTGCATATATTGTTAGATGTATAAAATATTAAGGAAAAAGTTAATCGTGCAAATAACCCAACTTAACATTGTAGCGGAAATGTGGTAAACTCATGGTCTTAAATTTATTGTCCAAAGAATTATATATTGCTGCAACGTCATATGAGAAGCTTCTGATAACGTGCCTGTCTCTAATAGGTCTATCGTGAATGGAGTTATTAAAAATTATTTTTTCACATAGGTACTCTGGCTTAAAATTAATTAAGATTCTATGGATAAATGTAGAAAAATCTAACTTGACCAACTGGTCAAACTTGGTCGAACTTTCTCATGCCGAATATAAAGCTAACACAACTTTTTTGAATTAATTGGATTCTGTGTTTAGTGATCTGATCCAAACAGAGAAAATACAGAATACTATAGTTCAAGACAGATACAACCAAGGAATCGCAAACTTTTTTCCTCATTTGCGTAGACGTGCATAGGTTTTTTGTGTCAGATTTTTAACATGCTCGGTAAATCTTAGTTATGTATCAACTTCTACACCCAATATTTTTGCGCTAATGGTGAGCTCGAGCTGCTTATTGGTTCACATTTAAGAGCGAAACAACGTCGTTCCTTCTGCTGTCTGAACGAAACAAAATCTTAGATTTCTCCGGGTTTATGCTGAGGTTGTGATCTGCTGAATATTTGCATTGACTATCAATATCTGCTTGTAATACTTGGACAGTCCTCTGTATATCTTCTATACCAAAACTATGGGAGGTGGGTGTCATCAGCGAACGATTGAATATCAGAGTTGTAAACTGATCTAGATAAGTTATACATACCTAAATAAAAGAGGTCCCAAAATGGAACCCTGAGGCACTCCTGAAGGTATGCGGGTGACATCAGATTTAATACCCTTCAGTGAATCACATTGAGTCCTGTTTTTAAGATAGCTTTCAATAAATCTGATTACAACCTCATCACAACCAACAGAACGGAGCTTAGCACATACAAGTTTATGATCTATCTTATCGAAGGCTTTAGAGTAGTCGACTGATATTAAAGCTAAACCCAGAACACGAAAGATGTCGCATATGTTTAATAAAGACGATGTTGTATTGTAATGTTTTCTAAATCCCGATTGATTAGGTGGAATTATCTGATGTACTTCAATGTATGGTGTATGTTGAAGTTGAACAATTTTTTATCAAGGATTTTTTACAAAATAAGTAGTAAACTGATCGGTCGGAGATCTGATAGGAGGTCGGGTTACAAAGTTTTTGCTGTAGGTATTATCAGTGCTTGCTTCCAAAGTTTAGGGAAGTAACTGGTTTCAAGAAAGATTGATAATGTGAACTAAGTGGAAAAATACAACGGGTAGGCTGACCTTTACCTTAGTTAGCGTAAGACCATCTATTCCTTTGGTATCTGATTTAAGAGATTTAATTGTTTGTAGAATTTCTGAAGGATCAAAGATTCTGAATGAAAAAGAATCAGGTCGAAAGAAGTGACGATTTTTGTATAGGTGGCAGAATTCTTGCGAGGATGTAAACTGACATGAAATAGTCATTGATTTCATTTGGATCAGATAGATTATCTGGAAGAGGGGGTTTGGTCCGAGAATGTATATTAAGCTGCTTTAAGCCAATCCGTACTTTTTTGCGTCATTCTGATAAAAATTGCAGATATGTTCTTTTTTCCTCACCTGAGTAAGCGCGTGATTTATTTTTTGCTTGTAAATATTTAGGTTTTCTACAGTTTTATTTGTTTTATATGTAGTATCGGCAATATCTCTTTCTTTAAGAACGTCACGTAGGCGGGGAGATAGCCATGGAGCAGGTGGTTTGCTTACTATAAAAGTAGTTACAGGAGCATGTTTATCATAAACTCTCATCAGTGTATTTGTTAGGAACTAAACTTTAGCATCTACAGGGTTATCCAAATTAAGTGTCCACCATTAGTAACTTTGTTATTAGTGAAAATACAAAGTTGTTTGAATTAGCAAACTAGTAGCATTTTTAACGCTGGTAAAAATGAGAAATAAAAAAAAACAATTGAGAGTCGTTATTTTGATTTTTTTCAGTAAAATAACATTTTTTTAAATGGAAACCCCTGTATATTATATTTTTTTCTGTTAAAGCATCAAATTTTAAACAAAAAAGTTCATAATGACTTTTCCGCTAAAGTCAAAAATAAAGTCAAAATAACGATAAATATTTTTAATTATTTGCAGTATTATAATATTAAGACGGCTATGAAAACAACATGGCGTTCGCGATTTGACAGCATTAAGATAAGCGACAAATTGTTAAACTGGACATACTCGCAACTAGAAGGCTTTGGAAAACAATGATAAAATCAAATAATGTCAAACATTAGTGTAAATACTTGTTTATAAGCTTTATTGTGTCATTAATTTAAAGAAAAATGTTCTCCCATGAAGAAAAGTGTGATATGTTAGAATGCTATTTAGTGTGCAGAAAATCCTCCTTGAGAGCAAGAGAATACTACAGTGAATTATATCCCGCTCGCATTCAACCGTATGAACGATATTTTCTGAGACTTTATCGAAAATTTAGGGGCAACGAAAATGTTTTTGCTAAAACAAGGGCAAAAGAAGAATTCATAATAAGCGAGGCCACGGAAATTGCAGTTATTGGATATTTTGAAGCTTATCGTGAGAATTCAATAGCAGATATTCTCAAGGACTCTAATTTCAGTTATGGTACTGTTCAAAGGATTTTAAAAAAATACAAATTTATTCCGTATAAGTACCGACCAGTTCAAACGCTTTTGGCAGGGGATCCAGAGAGAAGACTTGTTTTTTGCCATTGGTATCTTAGCTTCTGTCGCCAAAATGTAAATAACTTTAGTTACCTTTTATGGACAGATGAATCAAATTTTTCAAATTCTGGAATGTTTAATAGAAAAAACCACCATTATTGGTCAAGAGAAAATCTTTTGTTAGTACATCCAAGAGGCCCACACGTCCGTTTCAGTTTCAACGTTTGGTGCGGTATAATTGGTTCAAAAATTGTTGGCCCGTTCTTTTATGAGGGAACCCTAACTGGTGAAAGATATGTGGAATTTATGTCAGAAATTCTGACTAATTTCTTAGACGAATTGGATCTTATAAGTAGACATCATCTGCATTTTCAGCAAGATGGCGCACCTGCCCACAACTCCAGAGGTACTTATCATTTTCTAAGTACTACTTTTAATGATCAGTGGATAGGAACAAATGGCCCAATACAGTGGCCTCCCAGATCACCAGATCTAAACCCACTTGATTACTTCTTGTGGGGTTACTTAAAGAACCAAATTTACAAGCGAAGGTACGATAACCTTGACGCGTTAAAGACTGCAGTTAGGGAAAAGGTAACCCTGATAGATGGTAGGACCATACTTAAGACAGTTCGAGCAGTTGAAAAACGTGCCCAAAAATGTATTGAAGAACAAGGTGGTGTTTTCGAGCATCTTTTTTAAAAAAAATTGTTATTGTATTTTGTAAGATTATAAGTTGATGTTGAAAATAAAGTTTGTCGATACAATTTAATTGTTTCAGATTGGAGGCCATAACTTCAACAATTTGTAACCTAGGAGAAAAGTTATTGTAAGCTTTTTTGTTTAAAATTTGATGCTTTAACAGAAAAAAATATAATATACAGGGGTTTCCATTTAAAAAAATGTTATTTTACTGAAAAAAATCAAAATAACGACTCTCAATTGTTTTTTTTATTTCTCATTTTTACCAGCGTTAAAAATGCTACTAGTTTGCTAATTCAAACAACTTTGTATTTTCACTAATAACAAAGTTAGTAATGGTAGACACTTAATTTGGATAACCCTGTATATGGTTCATAAAAAATAAGTCATCTAAATTTGCAGAAGCTTAGTCACTTGGAAAATATTCCTTGTTGAAACATTTGAAGTTCCTTACAGTTACAAACCTTTGTTTATTTTTCAAATCAGGAATGGAGAGAGTGGACGATAACATTTTGTGGACAGATATGCCGTTAGAATCGAGAACCAAGCAGTCGGAAATAATGTCTGGTTTGTTAGTAAAGACTGGATCTAATAAGGATGCTGTGTTACTTGTGACTCTAGTAGGGTCACTGACAATTTGTGAAAGCCCCACCATTTGAAAGCATGGAGAAACGACGTTGTTGCCGCTCAAAATATCAACATTCAGATCTCCTACAATAACAATGTTATCAAAATTGTTTGACATTAACGGTAACATGAGATCTAGAGCGCTGATGCAATCATTGAGGTTTTGTGAGGGTCGTCTATACAACACGCCCAAAAGCAAAACGTATCTGTTTATTTTTATGCTGATCCACATTTGTTCCAAGCAATTTCCAAAGATGTTGTCAAAGTTAATAATTTCAACCTGAACGTCAGTGTATATGTAGACTCCTACTCCGCCACCGCGGGATCCCCTGTCACTACGGAACAGATTGTAATTATTGATACTCACCGCATCATTGGCAGTGTCTTGGCTCAACCAATACAGCGAAAATATCGAACCGCTAAGTCTGAATCAGGTCAATAATTGCAGCAAAGTCGGACATGAGAGATCGCAAATGACCAAGCTTGATTGATCCTAACTTATCCATAATCTATTCTAGCTTTAAGACTAAGAATATGGTTCTCAAAAAGCGGACATGCTTTATCTGATGCGGCATGCTCAACATTTATTTTTGTACGATATTTACGATTATACTGTACACAGTTTGCACATTTCACAGAATCATTATCACAATGTTTATAAGAATGGCCACTAGAACACTTAAGATACGTAGATGCATTAGATGCACAGTTCTTCTCAATGAACAGCATTTTTGGTATTGCATAATATTGAGGTGATCAACTACACTGCACCTCCTCCATCCTATGTAGACCAAACCTTTTGTTAGTAGAAGTTTTCTAATAGATGGAGACACTTCTAGAACAACGTGCATATTTTTTGAATCCCTCAGCTTTAACTTTGTGACTACTTTCATTGAGGTTGAAGAATCTTCATCGTTCAAGTTATTTAAAGACAATATGTTTCAGTAGAAGAAACATTTTTAATTATAATACGAGGATTAAACTTCTTGGATTCCCCAATGTGATACCCATTACCAAGCTTGTTTTTAAGAGCTTCCTTCAGCTTCTGCAGGTCCTGGGAGCTGTTGCAATATACTGGTGTACCATCTTAAGGAGTCCACCTTCACAGGTAACAGTATTTCTACCAGCAGGAAAATTATCATTATCGATAATTTTGATTTTAACAGTATATTTAAATATTCTAATTCATTTACTAGTTTTTGCATCAGATCTTTTTCTCTCTGCAAACACTCGATTTCTTTCCTGCAGATAGCTATCTCAGATGATTCACATGTAGTCAGTTTGCCACAGATCTGATAGGAGACCAGCTTTTCCACTTTAACCTTGCAAGAGTCACAAAACCATTGTAAATTATCACATTTTGATAAAATTCTTGAGACATCGTCTTCCACTGCCACACAGTGATTGTGTAAGCGTTTTTCGCAATTTCTACACGAACTTCGTATTAACTATGAAATTATCCGAGGAGCGCGCACAGACGTATACATCGTCCGCCATGTTGAAATGTTCGAGGTAATTATGATTTTTTTCTTTGCTAGGCCTGTGTTAATCTCGTACAAACTGAAAACACAACCACCTCGTTTTTAAAATCAAGCATGAGACTATCAACCATTTAATTATTCATTGTTTGGGTCAATATGGAATTCGTCAAAAACTATTAATTCATCAACTTATTTAATAGTAAAAAGAGAAATGTTTTGGATTTCTCATTAGTAATGTTTATACAGGGTCCCCCAAAGGAACCTGACGTTTTCAGAATGGATAGTACGAAGCTGTTTTTTGACGTAGAACATCGGTTACAGTGGGCAAGACATCGGTAGTAGATGCCATTTCAGTAGTCATGGAGCTGTGGACAAGTGAACATCGCGCATTTGTTGTCGAGACGTATTTTAAAAATCACGACTCGGTGATCATTACACAGCGTCTATTTCGGACACATTTCAATGTTGGACGTCATGGTTCTGTTCCATGCCGTAACACAATTAACTTGTGGGTCAAAAATTTTCGTCGATCTGCATCAGCAATGAAAGCTAAGCCACCAGGAATGCGTCGAACAGTTCGGACTCCAGCCAATATTGAGAGGGTGCGAACAATTAGTCTAAGGCTTTCAGAAACAACAGTGCAGCGTATTTTGCATAAGGATTTACATTATCACCCTTACAAATTAGCAATGGTTCAAGAACTGACAGCTGAAGACTTTGTGAACCGTTTGACTGCAAGCAACCAGCTTCTGGAACTTTTGGATGAAAACGCTATAGGTGGCTTAATTATGTCTGATGAGGCGCATTTCGAGTTATCAGGCTACGTAAATAAGCAGAATTTTCGCTACTGGTGTGCAGAAAACCCGAGAGAACTTCACCAGCGACCCCTTCATAGTCGCAAGGTTACTTTTGGTGCGGAGTGTCGCGATTCGGCATAATTGGACCCTATTTTTTGGAGGACGATGCTGGAAATTCTGTCACGGTCAATTCGCAACGTTATCTGGAAATGTTAAACACATTTTTGGAACCAGAGCTTTGTCGACAGAACATAGATTTAAATACTGTATGGTTTCAGCAAGATGGCGCCACAGCGCATACAGCACGAGCAACAATGGTTCGACTGCGAGAAATGTTTCTAGGAAGAGTCATTTCGCGGAATGGAGATGTTCCTTGGCCGGCAAGGTCTCCCGATCTCACGGCTTGTGACTATTGGTTATGGGGTTATCTCAAAAGCAAGGTATATTTATCGAGCCCAAGGACCATTGAAGAATTGAAGGAAAACATTCGCAATGAAATTAGCGCGATTCCGATGAGTATGGTACAGCGCGTAATGGGGAATGTGCGAAACCGTTTGGAAGAGTGTGTCCGCAGTGAAGGACATCATTTGATCGAAGTTATTTTCCATACATAAAATGGCATGTAATACACTTTCGATTACTTATATATGAAAATAAATATCTTGAAAGATACATTTGTAGTTTCATATTGAAACTCATCAGGTTCCTTTGGCGGACCCTGTATATTGTTTTGTATCATAGTACATACACTGAGAATAATACAGTGCTATTCTTATATAGCAGCAGCTTCTGATATTGGTTGTATATTTAATGAAATTTGAGTGAGCCATGAGGTCCTGTGGTTCTCAAGTAACATTTTAATTGCTTTACTTATAAGCTGAGATAGGACATGAAATATTTTACCTCCAGGTCCTTATGTTTGTTACAGGTATCTGGTTATTATAATTTAGTTCAGGTTAATTTAAAAATTTGGGTATTGTTAGTGCAATCATGATTTTCCTTGTACACCATGATTGAACAGCAACTTTAATTTTAAATTTTTGAATTGATGTAACCCAAGACTAAATGATTCCATGTTAAAGTAAAATGTTTAATTCTTGGAAGCAAATTAAATGGGGGGATTCGTAGTCAAATCGTGATTTTGAGTTATTTTTTAAACAAGTATTTTTTTCTATTTAGGGTTCTACCTTCAGGTAACATCTGGGACTTCCTGCTCTTGGTTGCCTACTGGTAATAGCCAAGCACCTGCACGGGTGGTTTTTCTTTTCATTTTAATATTTACCAGAAATCATTTAGGCAAGGGGGTAATACACAAATTAATTCTCTTTAGCCAGGAGTGCTCCTTAACTTTATTTGTTCAATAAATGTCTTGTGAGTGTCTGTCTCCTTAACTTCAGTCCACAGACACACCAGTTGTTACTTTTTATTTCATTTCCTAGTTTTTAAAAATAGGTGGTGCACAAACTGCAACTGCTTTGCATCCAAAAACCATGGTACAAAGAACCTCACCCTGATATTTCTCATAACTAACGACTGATCCTGTTTTGGCAGGATAACTACCCTTATTTGGGCATAAAGAATAAAATGACGCATATTTTCAATATGCAACTTAATTCAAGGAATAACATATTGGCAACGTGGCAAGACTGCCGCATCAGGGTTGCTAGCCAACACAGTGATGAGCTTCTATCTCTTTCTAAAATATGTGTTCTATACACATTTCTCATACACATTGGATGCAAGGTGCCAAACAAATTTGGGTCTCAGTGTATAGGGGGCTCATAGATTCTAAGAACTGCAAACCTGGTTGATATTTTTCCAACACAGTCCTTGAAAGTCTAAGTGAATATAAGGATAGCTTGAAATAAAATATTTTATTCATATGCTATGTCATATCCAATCCTATTGGTTATACTACTAGTGAAGAACATACAAAATGCACTTACCCACTATTATCAGGTGCTGAAATAGTCACAAATACTTCAAACCTCTTGTTTTGCTTATGAGCTTTCCTCAATGCTTGTAGCACTACCCTTGATCGAGAATGTGTTAAAACTTTCTAAAAATATGACTGTTAATTAACTGTTTTGATAAGCACTTAACCACTTACTGATCCATCTTCGATGAACTTTGATGCTAGTTTAACTATTTTACCTCTAGCTTCATCTAATTTCTTTATAAATAGATGTCCCCTGTCTAACATAATTTTTTTGCAATCACTGAAACACTGAAGTATCATTGGTTACTACTTACTACTAGAACTGCAAGCTTATCATATACTTACTCTTGTATCTAAAGCTGCTAGAGTGATAAATCTAAGAAATAACTCGCATCCTGAATTGATTGCGGTAACAGGGTAGTCTGTATTTTTCATAACATTTATTCCATCTTTTAGATTTGTCTCAAGTTCTTGCACTGTTTCAGCTAAGGAATTAAAAAGTATCAAAAAAAGAAAAGGCAATTTATAATTGATGAAAACCTTACATTTAGAATGTTTAATAATTTCCATAAGGGTCCTTATAGCAGCAACACCTACAGATACATCTTCATCTTCCCTGATGATTTTACAAAAAAATTCACGAACTTCTGGAAGGAATATTCAGTTAGTTAAAATACTTCACGCCTGTAGAAAAATATGCTCATACTTGCGCCGTCCATAATGTCTTTTCAGTATAAAAAATCTGGAAAATGAAAATACTTTTCTCAATCAAAAAGCAACAACAAATTGTAGCGTCATAAGCACATGTTCGAAAGTCAAAACTGACAAAACAGGGTTGCCAACACTTCGGTAATCAAATCTACTAAATCACACTGTAAGATCTACCAAAAATCTACTAGATGAAAATTATGAATTTCATAAATCTACCAGAAAATCTACTAGTTATAGCCAACCCTCATTTTGCAGTTAATTACGTTTTAGGTTTTAAAGGCGTGTGCGCATATTATGTATTTTTTTAGTTTTTACTCTAATTTAGATCTTTGGACATATATTATTTCAAATTAGTAATACTATATTGTGAAAATATATTTTGAATATTTTGTAAATATTAAAGATAAAGGTAAATCTATAAATAAAAGCAGAACATTTAGTAATATTGCAAAAATATATTTTATCTAGAAACGAAACAAAAATAGACGCATTAATTTTAGTCCTTGCATGAATAATAAAAAATACACTTTCTAAAAATAAAAATAATTCACTATTAATACAGTCAAACAAATCCTGTCAAAAAATAAAAAAAATTATTACAACAAAAAAATAAATAAAAAGAAACTCCTAAGCTCTAATTGAAAACGGATAGAAATAAACAATATAAATTTACATTTTTTAAACGGGATTAGTTAAGTATATTTAACGTCTCGTCATCAAGGATGTCATTATCACTTTCCCATTCTAGTGGTTTATAGCTCTGCATAGGGATTTCATAGTCATGACAACATTTATTAACGCGTTGCAACCCAGATCTAATGTCTAAAATTGATTTCAGCATAGGTAATTTCATTCTGTTGTGCAACTTTGTTTTTATTAAATTCATTTGGCTAAAAAGCCGTTCTACTTCAGCATTTGAATTTGGCAGAACTAAAAATGATAATGCCACTGTCGCTAAATCTCGAAATGGGTACTTACTCTCCATTGCAGTCCTGCGCCGAATGAACTTCATACCAAAAATCAATAGTGTTTTGGGTATTTTCCCACTGCTTTAAAGTAATATTTTTCCACTGAATACTAACTTTTTCAATTAGCTGTGGATCATATTCGGAAAGCTCGAGAATGTTTATTAAATCAGGTTTAATTACACGCAGTGTATTTTCGACTGAAAAAAATGAGATTTGTTTTAAAATATCAATATTATCAGGCATCCTTTGCGTGATCTTTTTAATTAATTTTGTGAGGAAACGAATGCACCTTTCTCGGAGATTTGCCTCATCTGAGAAACCGGCCTCCTTCATTTCTTTTATTTTATTTTCGAAAAGATATCCCAAATAATTGTCGCGCACAACAAATGTCTCGATATCGTCGTAAAATAATTTGAAACGGCTGTTTGGTGTTGTTACTTTCTTTATTAAACTATTTAACAACATAGTCACGTCTTCCAAAAGCTTACATGACTCTGCGTTTTTTGCTTCAAAGGCTTTGTTCACTCTTTGAACCTCACCTAAAATTGGCTTGAGAAAACATATAAAGGCATAATTGGTATCATCTTTATACATTTCGTAAAGCATTTGGGCAGTATAACATTTGTCGCTATCTTTAACAATTGAAAAATGAGTTTCCAGTTCAACCCACTGGTCAAAAATTCATGTAACGGCAGAATCAATGGAAAGCCATCGTGTCGCTGACATCCCTGTTATTTTTAAGGGATCATTGCCTTCATTTATAGTATTATATAATTGCCTGTACTTTATTTGCCTAGAAGAAGAATGTTGAAACCAATTGTAAGTTTCTCGAATTAGGAATTCTAGATTCCTAGGTAAACACCCTTTAGCAGCTGCAGAAACTGCCAACTGCAAAGAATGGCAAACACAACGGATTAAAATTAGGTTTGGAACCCGTTCTTTCAATTTTACGTATACGCCATTGTTGATGCCCACCATGACGGACGCATTGTCAGTACCAATACCTTTTAGATTAGCAAGGTTTAAATTCAAATTTTTTAAAGTCTCTAAAACAGCATCAACAGTTGCATTAGCATCACAATTTTCTAATTCTACTAAATCTAAAAATGAGTTCACTATTTGTTTCGTCTTATAACTAAAATAGATTATTGTACATCCTAAATATTTATCGACCGTAATGTCTGTTGACTCATCTAATAAAATACTAAAGGGAGAATTACCAATATCCTCACATAATTCTCTGACAAAATATGTGGCGATAAAACATTTTTTATTAGATTACTACATTTGGTTCTATGCATTTGCATATTCTTAGAGACAGAGCAGTTAATAAATGCTTTTTTACACATATCTATTAAATGATCTGATATATTTATAGAGCTATGTTGGGCAAAAAAAAAGAGCTAATTTCCCTTAAGCAGACTTGGTATCTTCTTGGTCAGTAACAGCAGTAAATGGAATTTTTTGCTGAACTTTTCCTTGGAATGATCTCCCTAAAAAAACGCTTGCGTTTTCCTTATGCTTTTTGGATTCACCATGGCTCGGTCGGCGTAACGACTCGTAATTATTTTACTACAAAATTTGCATTTAGCTTCCGTTCCTAAAGTGCTGTCAATAACCAACAGCCATTCTTTTAAACTAGGGTCCTTTAACCATGCGTCTCGAAACTTTTGAGTATATTGCGGTTTAGGCATGGTTCTGTAATCTGTAATACATAATAATTCAAAGTAATCTACATCATATATGTATCAGTATCATGCTCACTTACCAAAATCAAATAATTAGGCAGGCAGTCTTAAAATAGCAGAATAGTATGCTATAGCTACTAGAAAGCACACAAATTATACTGTAAATAATGTTCAAAAATCACCTAAATCATCGTATACGAGATAAACTTCACTTGTCTGTGCAAGAAAAAACAATGTCTGTGATTCCCGTGGATGATGCTCAGAACGTGACGTGATCAAATCACGTGACAAAAAGATGGCGGCTGAATTTCTCGCGCCATCTACCGAAGGAATTGGCAAACATCATGCAGTTAGTGATGTGCGACCCCAATAGATGTCCCAAAACGAGGCGCAACGAACGTCATCTGACTTTCATACCCCTGATTTCCGACAAAGGAGAACTAAGAGAAGAAGTACGCATACGCAAATTAATTCATTGGTTCTGCCATCTATCGATTCGATGTTCAACTAAATCAAAATAGGATATTTCACAATGACAGTTTGCTACTTTCTTGAATTATTACTTCAATTGACAAATTAACATGAGTAACTAAGGTTCATAATGATATAAATCGAAAGTGGCTTACTGATTATTCTGATTCTTTCATTCTACTGGATTTTCTATTAGCCACTAAAACGTAGATTTGTCCACTAAATGAAGACTGCAATCTACCAGATCTGGTAGAAAATCTACTAAGTTGGCGACCCTGTGACAAAAACCACATTTGTAGGTATATTCTTTAATTCACCGGTTGATTCCATCACTGATGGATCCGGTGAACTCATGGTTGACGTTGACAGCTGATGTGATGACGTCAGCAACCGGTTCCGTTGAATGGTCGTTAATAAAAAGACGCATTTCTAGCCTTCAGGTTGCTATCATATGAGAAAACCTAACCTTTGTTTTATCGTAAATGGATACTTGTTAATTTGAACATCGTATCATTTAAAATCATTATGGAAATGTACGCAGCAGTTGATATTGTCGTGGAACGTTTGTTAAGCGAATCGAGTGATGATTCTGATGAAGATTATCCAGCGGAGAGAATTTGCGCTCCGAGAATCAATATAAGAACTATAAATCAGAAAACCAAGAAATTTTCAGAGATCGTCGATGCTTCCCGTATAAGAACCATCGATATGGATTTTCTGAGAGCATTCCTGTATTCATACAGGAATAAAAACATAACAAAATCAGAAAATCGACATTTTCGGACTTACGAGGTATTGATTTAAGATCGTCGATATGCATAATTCAAAACAAATTGACTAGCTTTCAGATGCTCTGTTTATTTCAAATTGTGTCGAAAAGAAAACATTAAATTTCACTCGACTCCTATGCTGCTAACTTCAATCTTTTCTTCTTCCATTTTTTCACACAAAACTGTAGTTGTCAAAAACTGATAAAATGTAGAGGTTAGAATATCGTGGATCAACCGAGCCCGAACGTCGGTGGATGCTGTTGGCACCGGTGGCATATCCACCATCAATATAGAGACAAGTTTGATGTACAACCGGTCGTTCCAGCGGAAATTAAAGGACGCAAACTTGGCTAACCGGTTGCACCGGTAGCTCAACCGGTGAATTAAAGAATATACCAGATTCGGTTACACTGTCACTTGAATTGCATGGTTGCCAAAATGTGATTTTTTTCTGTTTTTTCAGTACTTTATGCCTTATTCATAAATAATGAAGGTAGGGTAAGAAATTTAAAGGCGAGTGACTAGGTTTTTCTCATGAACTATGGAATTGTTGAGAGTTGAGCGATAACATCATCAATACGTTTTTTGAAAGGTAAACGGTTCAAAACCATAGGCGTTGAAAAGTAAGATCTCCAAACAATCCACATAATTTGGCAACAGTGTGAAGCAATTGACGGATCACTTTCCCCATTTTGTACCCCGAAAAACTAATCGTCTTCTTAGGAATTCCAATACTCGTTGTGTACTCAAAGTTAGTATCATCGTAAAAGAGTGGCTACTATTTAGCAATAATACAATATTGCAAGTGATACAAAACAAAATTCTAAACAATATTGCCATGCTCCCTGGTAGGTATCTACCGCAACCAGTTACCACGACATGGATATTCCTTTCTTGTCTCCATTTATTAAACAAATTGCAACTAAAAGTTACGAACTCTACATTCAAATTCTTTAATAAAGGATGATGGACATATGATCCAGCATTCGTTCATGAACACAAAACACCTAGATTAGCCCTTCTTCAACAATCTGATCATCTCAACCTATTATTTATCGTTTATTTCTTTACATTGACAGCTTTTTTCATATATTTTTCATAATTATATAAACTACCTTTGGTGTTTTTTGTTAGACCTACCCTGATGGGTATAAGAAGTCAAAAGTCAACAATAAGCAAATATTAATCACAAAATCATATAAAGCAATATGAGAAAATGAGACTGATATATATGATATAGCTTCAGATTGACTTTACGCATCCCATCTTCCATACAGAGGTACCTATGAGTTTTTGAAAAATTGCCTCGTAGGCAACCTCAAAACTGCCTTCGCCTGTTATCGATATAAACAAAAGAAACATAGTAGATTCTTGAGTGATTTGGACTGCCCAAAACGGATATGAATATGTAAAATTGTGAAATGCCGTAAAGTCGGATTTGAAGTAGAAAATAGGTTGCTTTCGGAATCTCTCGTGAGTTTTCTAGCGTCAAACTGACCTCTTGAATTCGGAATTTAGCAGTTTTAGGAAACGAGTTTTAGTCCGATTTACACACCGCGAGTATTTCAAAATATTTAATAGGAAAACCTGACAACTTAGGACTTTTGCAACCCAAGATTTCAATCTTTGCATACTCATGTTTTTGCCATAATGGCAATACTGGCAGAAAACGAACTGTGGCTGCGAGTATCAGGATTCCAGTCGACTTCTGTCACTCTTCTTAACCTCTATCTGCAAATGTAAACATGTTAACAATCCCTTATTTTCAAAATCCTTTTTTTGATAAGAGCATACATCATGGGTGAACGCAGGGTAACGATGAAACTAAAAAGTCCAAATCACCTATTCCAAACATGGTTAACAGAATGGAGAAACGAGGCTAGAGGGACGAACAGTTCACTGGCATCCTCATATGATGAAGCATTACATTCGCTTGAAATGTACCCTTTACCATTAAAAAGTGGCAAGGACTGTAAAATTCTCATTGGTTTTACTGCAGAAATATGTTCAAAGATAGACCGAATGTTAGAGAAAAATCAGTCAAAGGATAAACATTTAGATATAAAGAAAACTGATGAGTTACTATATCATTTACAAAACTTGGGACAGGCTGATACGAATCAAGAAAAAAGTGCAGTTGAAGACGTTTTGCAAAATAAAAAAAGGCGAAAAACAATTACATCAAGCAAGTCTGAAGAAATCATACAAAGTACACAGAAAACTAAGCCAAAGTCTGCCTCTAGGAAAATTGCAAAACATGCTTCTTGTAGTAAACTACCTTCTGTTCAAGAAGAGGATTTTGTGTTATCTCCTGGAGGTTTTGATATTATTTTATATGTTGATACCAATGAAGTAGAAGGGTAAGTTTAACTTCAATTTCATTTTATTTGCCATAAAAAGCAATTTTATTTTTGTAGAAAAAACACATTGGATCCATTACTGCAGGAGTTGAACAATTTTTGTGTCAGTTATGAAGTAAAGAGTCTTAAGATTGGAGATTATATTTGGATTTGTAAGTATAACACTTCAACAATCAGCATATGTCAGCTCAATATTGCAGCTATCACCAACTACTTTTTACAAACCTGGACCCATAACCTTACAAAATATCTATTAAAGACAACCTTCTGCTTTTTTGTTAAATTTAGGTCATAAATACAGTTTAGATTCCATTTTTTTAGGCAGAGACAAGGTCTCAAAGAAGGAATTAGTACTTCCATACATAATAGAAAGAAAAAGATTAGATGATTTTTCTAGCAGTATCAAAGATGGTAGATATTATGAACAGAAATTCAGACTGAAAAAATCTGGGATTAAGAATATTTATTATTTGATAGAAGACTACAATAAAAAGAATCATATTGGGTTACCATTGCCAACTCTAAGGCAAGCAGCTATCAATACCGCTATCCAGGATGGATTTTTCATCAAGGAAACTAAGAATTGGAAGCATACAGCCAAGTTTTTAACACAATTCACTACAGTTATCTCGAATACATTTAAGGTACTTGAATTTTGAGGTTTGACTTGAGCACTTGGCTAAAATCGTGTGACAATAGAAAAAGTAACACATTTCAATTTATACATTAAACAGAAACAGATTCATTCTACCAAAGAATGTATTTTTCTCAGGATAAAACAATTTATAGAGCCAGTAAAAGAAACTTGGAAGACAGTCCAACAAATAGTGATTTGATTTCTTTAATGAGCTTCAATGAATTTAACCAGAGTTCTATGAAGAATAAGGTAGGTAACAATCCTCTGTAGATTATGGAACAGCTTCACTGACAAACTTAATACAATCACAGTGATATACATTTTAATATTTTATCTCTAAATCCTTTTGTTGTATAAAAAGTTTTCTATTATTTTTCAGGCAATAACTGTGTCAGATCTATTCACAAAAATGCTGATACAAATCAATGGTATGTCTGTAGACAAGGCGACTGCAATTGTGGAACATTTTCCAACTCCAGCTCTTCTCCAAAAAGCTTTTGAGCAATGTTCTCCCACAGAAGGTAAACATTTGATTGCAAATATCTGCTATAATAAATTACAGAAGAAAATTGGACCCACATTGGGAAAGATTGTGTATCAACTTTTTACTTCTGATCCTTTCTTGTAAAAATTTTAGCTGTATTTTATAAATGAGAATATGTTTGTATACAATATAAAAGTTATTTATTTTTTCATATTAATAACATAAATTCATGTAAGACACTTTTATGCTATTTTTTTACTGCAATAAATTATATTTCTTTTTTTTTATTTTATGAATTCCCTTGGCATGTAACTAGCATTTATGTGTTCTGTTTTTTCTTTTTCTTCTTGAACCCTTCAAACTGCATACTTAAGAGTGGATTACTCTTTTTAACCTGAAAAATAAACAAGTTGACTACAAAATATGTCATGCCAAAAAATTGCACAAACCTCAAATTTAGAAGATGAACTGCCTGAAGTATTGAAATGTTCTCTCTTCCTTTTCCCTTTCCGTGCTATACCAGTTAAACTCTTTAAAGTAGGAGGCACAATATATTCAGGTACATCAGCAAGATGCTGTTGAATTTTAACTGTATGCAAAGCTTTATCATGCCTCAAAATGTTCAAGTCTGTGGGATTATCTTCAAAGTAGCTCTGAAATGGAAAACAAGGAAATAATAATAAACCACTTGTTTGATATGCAGTTTAGGCCATTGATTTCTAGCTTACTTTCAGTTTTTGACAGTTGAAAATTTCCATTTTTATTTCTTTGAGCCTAGCTTCTCTGACTGCAATTCTAGTTACAGCTTTCCATGCATCTTTAGCTCTATATCTGAAAGCCTCTATTTCATTCAACTTGAACTGATAAGTCCTGAAATCATAAGAAACAAATGCCTTAACAAATGAAATAAATATTAATTTCAAAACAGTATCTTTAGCTCATTTGCTATATTGCAAGGTACAAAATGAAAAACTATTTCTTCACTTACTTGAATACTGATTCATCATTTTCTCCTTGCCTTATTTTCTTTTCAACTTTTTCCAACAGTTGTTTTTCTTTTAAACTCACAAATGATAGAACACTACCCTGAAAGAATATTATATATTCCAATTATTAAAAATTGCAAACATAACATGATTAAAACATTTTTCTTTCAACACAGGATGTAGAAGCATGTTCTTACCTGGTTATTCCCTCTAGCAGTTCTCCCAGCTCTATGTATATAGGCCTGAGTATCTTGAGGAAAATCAAAATTTATAACATTTGCAACACATTGAAAATCTATGCCTCTTGACACACCACTTTCTTTATCTTTTTTTCTTTTTGATTTTTTGGCTGGTTCTTCTTTTTTAGTTCCTGGATCTTCCAAAGATTTTTCATCAGATGCTACTATGATGTCATAAATGCCTTGGTTAAACTGGTTCACAGAATGACATCTAATTGCTGCAGGTAGTTCAGAATTTAAGACACAAGTTGGAATTGCAAATTGCTCTAAGAATAGTTTTATCCTAAAAAATTGAAGAAAACATTAATAAAAATATCTACTTGCACACAAGGCCAAAACAAGAGCAATAAAGATTTTGTTTACTACCTAAAAGGTTTCAAGAAATGTTTTTACTCACTTATAGCACTTGTCTACAGTATTAACAAAGATAATAGTTTTCCCCCTTATCAAATGTAACTTGAGCAATGAACAAAGTATAGCAGCCTTGTCCATTTCTTCAGCATACAAATGATAATGTGTCAACTGACTTGCAGGTGCTAGATCTGGTTCTTCTAGCTTCAACGTTACCGGGTTATGTAGTATGAGACTCTTCAAATTCTTAACATCATTACTTAGGGTAGCAGAAGCTAGAATAGCTTGGTAGATTTTAGGCATATAACTGAAAAATATGGAATAATGAGTCAGTTTTGAGGATATTTATATGGTTTTCCTTACCCCATGAGTTCTTTTATTTCATCTTCATAACCAAAAGAAAAAACCAGGTCTGCCTCATCTACAACCACCATTTCCAAAGATTTTTTTAAATTCAGATTACCAGCCTTGAGATGTTGTAATGTTCTAGCTGGGGTTCCAACAACAATGTCTGGCTTTTCAACTAACAGTGGTTTTTGAACACTTAGGTCTACTTGAGGTGCAATATCAATACATCTTACCTAAAAAATTAAAAAGTGTCGATTAAGAAAGAATTTTAGTATTGAAGTTGTGAATTTAAAAATTTTTATTTAAATGAATCATTATTGATGATTGAAAAATTCTACATACTTCTCTAGAGCATTTGTATGTAAGGTCTTTGACAACTCCACAAATTTGATGGCACAGTTCTTTGCTAGGAGCCAAAATAAGTGCTTTGATGGCTTGTTCTGTTGCCAGCTTCTTGGAGCATAAAATCCTCTGGATTACTGGTATAGCAAAAGCAGCAGTTTTACCAGAGCCGGTTCTAGCACGAACTAGAACATCCTTGCCTTCTAGTAACAGAGGTATTGCTTTTTCTTGTATCATTGTGGGTTGCAGCCATCCCAACTTAGCAATAGCCTATAAGTATAAGCGATTTACAATTATAATTTTGTTCAGATACCTCATATGCTTTTCGATAAGGACCTCACAAATTATATACTGGCATTCTTACCTTCAGTATCCGATCGTCCAATTCCATTTCATGAAAATGACGGGGCTTTTCATCCTCTTCATCAGACATCGTGGATTAAAGTCTCAAAACCACAAACTTAAAACTAAATTAAATTGTTGATATTCTAATTTTGTACTCGACAAACACGAGCAACTCTTGAACCTAACCTCATAAACCTAACCTAAAACTTCAAAAAAGCACAAAGCAAAAAGTAGCACACAGTAGTCATGAAACTATGTTGTATAGGGTCTGCTGCCATGTTGCAGGTTATAGTATAGTGGCGTGCTTTAAACAATATAGTAAAAAACCGCAAATATTTGGCGTTATGAAGAACGATCAATAATCAAATTCAAGCGGATAACCAAATGGAAATGGTATTTACCATTTTGGGTTGGTATTTACCAATCCGTTCAAGCGAGTGTAGTTATCAGTTTGGTTATAAGATCCGTGACGTCACGAACCAGCTGTTATATGTCATAGTTATCACCGCAAAATTGTGGTATTTACCCAACTCAAGAGTAGTTTTATATTTCTGGTTATTATTTGAAATGTGACAAGTTAGAATTTTGCCGGGTATTGGATATTGTTATTGTACTTCAGCTTCATTTTTGAGAAAAACGATACAGGCTGACTTCAGTTTTACCATAAAGTGGAGCACCTTATTAGTTATACTCATTACGGTTGTTGGGGATACTTTAAATGTAGTTCCTATGCTTAACAAAGTATCCTGTGTAGCCATATACCACAAGAATATTAAAATATGGCCATATAAACTCACTAGATGATATCCACCTGTATACGGTTTTGCTAATTTCTTTTTTCATCATTTCTGCTGAATCAATAAATGTTTTCTTTGACATGCGGAAAAATTTAGAGAATTGAAAGTTATCATAGCTACAAAGCCATGGTTAGATCATTAAAAAAAATCTGAAAAAAACATTTCTCCATGAATATTATGAAAGTTTTGTTATTTAAACTTTCCATATACAGTTGTAGACGAAAAAGCACCGATTATTAAGTGATAATAAAAATAATCAGAGATTATATACGCGCTTTTCTAAAATAAACAACTTGCAACAAAACCGCGGTTAAAACCAACGCGTTCAAGCGATTCGTGTAACTGACGTCATCAACCCGTGTGTCATCTTGAACCATATTATAACCGCGGCACATAACACAGAAATTTTGGTTATTCGCTTGGATTTGATTAATGATCATCATATATAACATATATTTATTCTTGGTTTTCCCCAGTGACGGGCGTATTGTATACACCATGTATATATAATAAATACACCATTGTACTCGTATACGCGTATACAATGGTGAATATATACGTTTCGATATTCACGTATAAAATGTTACAATAGCAAATCATAATTAATCGATCAAACGAACTTACCTTAAGTGAAGTTCGATCGTAATTATACGAGGGTCCAGTCCGAAGACATCACTTTGTTTATTTACTATGAAGTCCGGCCCTGGATTACTAGCCGCACACCAAGTTAAAAGACAAGAGATCCCCGCTTCCGTCCCGTCGCACCGCGGTCTTGCACGTTGAGTCATTTGTTAAGAGAAATGGTACTTGCTCGCAACTTGGGAGGGTTGAAAGAAAAAAGGGTGGGAGTGATGTCTTCGGACTGGACCCTCGTATAATTACGATCGAACTTCACTTAAGGTAAGTTCGTTTGATCGATTAATTATATTTTAGGTCCAGTCCGAAGACATCACTTTGTTTATTAACTATGTAGATGTTTAAAGATAGAACACAGTTGCGAGCGATCTGATGGTGTTATAAAGTGGAATCAAAGTGTTCAGAAACAACAAAACCATATATTTAGTATTCCTATGTAACAAACATAAAATAAATTCTCAAATTGTAACCTAAAGATAACGTTGATTTGAGAAACAACTGAAACACAGGAAACATGTAACAAACTCTTAAGAGTATTAGAACTTAACTAATCACACCAATTTTATATCTAGGATTGCATTTGCAAACTCATTGTTTGGTTGTAGAGGACGATTATAAAATCTTGCAAACGTGGAACGTTGCGTCCAACCAACTGTTTTACATATGTTATCTATGGAAACGCCTTTCCTTAACGCCTCAGAAGTCGCCGCATGCCTTACTGAATGAGGCGTAAAAAGCGTTGTGTCTACTCCTGCAGAGGCAAGGGTCTGTTTTACCCATCTGCTTAAAGTGTCTTTAGACGCCCTTCCATGGGGTTTTTTCCATGTCACAAATAGGAAATCGTTATTGGGTTCTCTTAAAGAAGCCGTTCTTTCAATGTATTCTTTCAGGATTGTGGCCACGCAAAGAAAGGGGGTTTGTTGAAAAATCGGGATGTGCAGAGTGGGTTGAGGTTTTCTAACTCTACTGCTTTTAATTGGATCCGATATATTAATAGTTGATTCACTGTGACCATGGATTATATTTGAGAGACGTATAAGAGATATCGTCTGGAGTCTTTCTCCTGTTATCAGGGCTAATAACGTCGTTAATTTCTGTGACAGAGTTTGAAGACTAAGCGGTGATGATAACTTCTCTAAATACTTTAGAAGGGGTATAGGGTCCCAGGTGGCAGTATACTTTGGTCGTGAAGGCCGTAAGCGAGGGATGCCTTTTTTGAAGCGTTTAATTATCGGATTAGAGGCTAAATCCTTTGAGCAAATTAATGAAAGGGCAGATGTATGGGAGTTAAAAGTACCATACGTAAGGTTTTGATTATTTGTCAATTCTTGCAAGAATGACACCACTTCTTTGATTGTGGGATTAAAAAGCGAAATGTCATTACTGAAGCAATAACCCTATCATAATTTTTACGAACTGTTATATTGTTGTAATGTGGAAATGCGTAAAAATAAAATCTATTCCAGGGAATCGTAAACGCGTCAATATATGCAGATCCTGGGTCTCTATGCCAGGAGACATATAACTTGCATTTAGCATTTGTATGGGAAGCAAAAAGATCAATCTCTAGGTTTTCGAAAACGGTGGTTAAACGGTAGAAGGCGGTTTGACATAACGACCATTCCGTTTCCAAATTAGAACTTCTGGACTCGGTGTCTGCTATAACATTATCCTTCGAAGGAATGTATGAAGCGAAGAGCCAGAGGTTCCTTTGCTCACACCATTGCCAAATTTGTTTTGACAACGAACAGAGGTCTGGGAATTGAACACTCCCCATTCTGTTGATGTATGAAACAGCGGTCGTGTTGTCACATCTAATTAGAATATTGCAGTTTTTCATATTTTTGGCATAGCACTGAATCCCGTACAAAATAGCCCATAACTCCAAATTATTTATATGTAACCGTTTTTAAGAGTCAGACCAGAATCCATGGGTTCTGTCATGACCACAACCAACACCCCATCCTGTAAGTGATGCGTCGGTAAAAATTGTTATATGAAAGGAATCATACCTGATGTCATTGAAGGCTTTTGAAATATGATTTGTCCACCAAAAAATATCTGGCTTGACGCTTTCAGGGATAGGCTTCTTTTCGTCAGGAAGTTCTATTTTTAAATGGACACTATCTATCATAAAGCCTAGAAGTTTTATGTAAGTGGTAGGTACTAGGATGCTTTTGTTTTTATTGATTATAAGACCTAACGATTTTAAAAGACAAATGGTTGTGTTGACATGTTTGAGACAGGATTCATAGGAATCTCCGAATATTAGGAAATTGTCTAGGTAATTGACTATAGAGATGCCTAAAGTGCGGAGAAAAGAGGCGACTGGCTTCATGAGTTTTGTGAAGCATAACGGAGCTGTACATAACCCGAACGGTAAGCAGGTAAATTGGTACAATTGACCTTCAAATTAAAATTTAAGGAATGGTTGATGGTCATTGTGAACAAGTACCAAAAAGTATGCAACTTTCAAGTCGATTGTGCACATATACATGTGAGCCTTTCGCTGAATCGCTACGCTACGCCATCGAATATGTTTTGTCTATTGAATATGTTTTGTCTATTGAATATGTTTTGTCTATTGAATATGTTTTGTTTACTTCTGGCGACCGTAAATATTCCGATGTGCTGCGATGTGTTTTTGTGGGCAAGGTGGTTAGTCATAGTCAGTCTTGTAACAGATGCTGGAGTGAATACATGTGATACAAGTTATGAAGTGTTTGATTTTCCCTAAGAAAATGATAATTTTCTCACATCAGAAGTGTGATTCAACTCGCTAAAAGGACCACAGAAGAAATACATAGTGCAACCTGACTTATTTCGAGTGTGCGTGCGTGAGCAATTCATTGTCCTGAGCGTATATACCTAGTGAGCGTTACTTTTGGCAGTGATACTTAAGTGCTAAAAGTCTGTCGAAATGGAGGAATTAACCAGCGTTTTAACTGCAGTTCTTCGAGGAATTCAGCAGCAACCCCAACAAGCCGCAGCGGCGCCGGTGGTGCCAGCACCCTCTGCGCCAATTAACATTCCAGCTTTCGATCCCTCAAAAAGCGATGCGGGAGCGATGGGTTGGTGCGATGATATGGAGACCTTGGCGACCACGTTCAAGTGGACTGATTTTGAACAGCTTTGCAGAGCCGCGGGTGCCCTGGAAGGTGACGCAAAGGATTGGTATGACAACTGGCACCCATTAAATAAAGTTTGGGCTAGTTTCCGGGCCGAGCTTTGTCAGCTTTATCCTGCGAAGAGGAATCTTAGTGAGCGGTTACGTAAAGCTAGTATGTACAGAAGTGACCAAGCCACGGGATATTGTGAGTACGCAAGGAAAAAAATATCTTTGTTAAACTCTCTAGATTTTAATTTGAGTGATAGTCAAATAGTTGAGATAGTTATTGGTGATATAACGGACACACATGTCAAAACAGCTGCTTTTAATAGTAGAGTTGATTCCATTTCGACCTTACTTAACTTGCTTAGCAACTATCAAATTAATAAACAAGACTCTCAGCTTCAAGTAGGGGCGCCAAAACGCCCGAATCCGTTTAAACATAATGATGAGGGAAAAATATGTTATTCCTGTAAAAAAAAACCTGGTCATATCAGCCGGAATTGTTTTAAATCGCTTAAATTATTCAAATACGATAATATTAATAAGGCGAGAAGCTCAAATAATCTGCCAAGTATTGCGAAACCCTGTGAGATCTGTAAGAAATTCGGGCATAATTCTGAAAAATGCTTCTTCAAAAGTGAAAATAAAGCAGAGAAGTCGTCCAGATTCTCCAAAATAAACTATTTCTGCGTAGATCTAGATAATGACTTTTGCATAAAATTCAAAATACAAAATTTGACCAAAAACTGTTTGATCGACACGGGTGCAGAATGTAGTTTGCTATACGAAAAAGTCGCCCATAAATTACACTGTCATTTCGAACCAACTTTCATAATGTTAAAGGGTGTAGGAGGCAACTCAA